AAGATTGACAAGAGATTAATTGATTTTTACATGTTAATGACAATTCATGTGTATTTTCAAACAGAGAAAAATTTCAAAAAGAAAAGTAAAAGTGTGGCTATGCATTCACTATACATTTGAATGTTACATTACAGGAGGAAGGTGTTGAATCGGAAAAATCTGAGGCAGCCAAGAAGGAGCCAGAAATAGACCCAGTCATGAAACAGTACATGGAGATGGTCCAGCAACAAAAGGAGGAGGAAGAGGTGAGAATAGATGGTGAGAATAGGTGGATCCAAAGGAGTGGTAAAAGTTGTTACTTTCATAGTCAATTATAATCAAGTCTGGGTTACCGATAGGAATGTGGAGAAATTAAATTTTGCATATTAAAATGTCATGCTTATATTTTAGAAAAAACGTAAAAAATTAGGATCAGAAAACTTGATGAGATCAATTGATTAATGACAAATTCATATGTAATTTAAAACAGAGAAAATATCAAAAAGAAAGGTAAAAGTGTGGCTATGCATTCACTATACAAAACATTTGCTTCAAAGCACAGTAATATAATACATCTATCAAAAATCTTTTTTTATTTCAGGAAAACATATACCTTGTTTCAAGTTCTAGTACATGTATCATAAATGCTAGCACTAGATAAAAATGTACATTAAAGGTAGAGACTGTGTAATATCATTCATATGAAACAAAAAAGAAAAAAAAAAGAAAAGGGCCCATTGCTTAAGCATGGCTATTTTTCTTTGTCTAAATTTGTTTGATCTGTGTTACAATTGTTCAATTTCATGACTTATATTTCCATTGCTCACAATTATTAATTGCATTGAGATGTTCTATTCACTTTACATACATGTAATTTCACTTTCAGTCATAGTCATTTAAAAAATATAACACAATGTCATTTTTCAAAAACACAGTTTTGTTGCTTCAGGCGTTATAGAATTTGATCACGTGACCAATTTCATGTCATACCCCAATGAAACTCTAAAAATTATATCCTATTTCTTAATTGAAATACAAAATGTAATTATTTAGATTTTAGAATAAAATAATAAAAAAAAGTCACATTGCTTAAAATCTAATATAAAGTGTATTAAATATTTTAGTATTGAAATGATCTTGACTCAATGGAATACATATTGTTATTTAAGGATACAGAGTCTGAGTTCTCTGTGGCTGAGGACATTCAGAGGTATGTATCTATAAACAAAATAGAAAACAAAGAGACCAGTATTAATTGAATGAACTATTGTGTAAGGGTAAAATACTCTTTAATATAATCACACCATTGTAAAGTCAATTTTATATTAAGGTAAACAATGATAAAATGATATGTTAGACGATCATTATGTAAATGTATACAATGTTATGACGTGTTGATGACACACTATAAGTAAATACATAACTGCAGGTGCCAAGAAGCAAATTTGATCCTAGAATTGTGTTTTGTTCAAGATTTCTAATCATAGATTTACACGTGTCTGGTTTGTATCTATCAGTAGTTATGCCTTGTTTGTTTCGTTTCTAGCAATAATGGATCGGATGATGATTTTGGTTGGTGATGCCAGTATAAACTCTGATGGGAATCTTTACTAAGGGATAACTGTTGGCCGTCCATAAACAGACACTTATCTGTGATAGACTATTCCAATTTTTCTTTGTATATATATATATATATATATATATATATATATATATATATATATATATATATATATATATATATATATATATATATATATATATATATATATATAGGGTAGTTCAAATTAATTTTGGTTCTGTGGAATATTTAAAGTATTTAAAACTGACGTATAATTTTGAAGAATTTCTTCCTTAGAAAGGAAAGTATGAGTATAAGTAGGATTACCACTTGTAGAATTAAATCCAAGTTCTTCTAAAATACAAGCCTTACAAACGAAGACATTGTTGTGACCTGCTTTGTCGGCAGGGACCAGTACGTACTGATCATGAAATCTATCTAATTCTTCATGTTCTTAAAGGCTTGGTTGAACATTTATTGGAACCCACTATATCTTTGTTTGTAAGGATTCCTCTAAAGTTTTGGTATCCAGTATCTATATATGGTAGTTCAAAATCATTTTGGTTCTTGAGATATTAAAAATATTCAAAACTGACATGATTTTGAAGAATTTTCTCCTTACAAAGGGAACTCTGAGTATAGATAGGATAACCACTTGAAAAAAGATTCTTTCTCGGTCATATGACATGCACTTTTAAGACTGTTTTTGGCTTGCCCTTGTTCACCCTGAATCTTCAATTGACTAACCCAATTTCTATGACAGGAATTAGGTTGATACTTGACAAAGAAAACACTGAAGCTAAAAGACAGAAATCAGAATAAGTTGCCCCGACCTTTTGTTGGTTTTATCAAGAAGACAATTAAGGCCAGATGATACAAGTAAACTTTTGTCTGAAAATGAAGTTGTAAATTACAACTCGAGTCATGCTTAATATTTGAAAGTTTCACACTAATAAGATTTGAAGTAAAAATTTTTGATTAAAAAGAATATTGTTGCAGAAATGTATAATTTTAATACAAAAGATTTACAATTTTCTAACAGTCTAGAAAGTTATAAGTTACACAATTTGCAAAAATAAAAAATAGGCCAAGAAACATATCCCCCCGGTACCAATTTAGGCATCCTTTTTTGTTTGTGTCATCTGTTAAGAGGGTGTCGAGTTTCATTTAAAAATGAAAAGTCAATTAAATTTCACAAAACTGAAAGTTTATACAGTTTGTGAAAAAAAGTTTATGTTTTTTCTTTAAAATCGCAGTACTTAACTTACATTTAACCCTACAACGATATAGGGTACAACTTTACTTGTTGTTATTTTTAAAAAGACATTAAAGGTCACTGTCTTGAGTCTTCTTTCGTTTTAGTGCAGTACAAAGGTAAGTCATTCATGACATCAATATACTTTTGCATTTAGCAATTAATCTTACTTCTTGTGATTTCTATTAAATTCATCCAATATCGATTGGTATCTGACTTAAATAAGATTTTAAAATGTCAACTTATTTCGTTTCGAGAGCAAATTTAACATAGGGATGGTTTTATCCATACCTATCTTGACGTTTAAATACATGTAAGTTCATGGTTAACACGGTTTTAAAGAAATACATATATTGGTGAAGTAAAGACAATTTTTTAAAGATTTATTTTTATCTTGAAATTTTACCAATCCAACACTGTGAGATGATTAGTTAGAATAATCTAACTGTGTCTCGGTACAGGCCCTCACCACAGTTAGAATACGTCCCATATACTTGCAACGTAGCAAATCGGAGCGGATCCGCTCCGAAACGATTTTGAAGAATATAAAATGATTTGCACTGGGAATAACTACCAAAATAATCAAAACAAACCTTCTTAAGATTGCTTATGCCTTTTATCCCAAAAAATAATCCATATAAATACGTAAATCCAATTAATTTTCTCAACGTTTTTCTCTCCATTCAAATGTTTACATTCGGAACTCTCTAGATTGTTCCTAGTAAATGCACTATCGCCAGTGTTTCTTTCTGCTACATTACGAATACACGGAACGAATTCTATCGTTAAACCGGGTCCGTAGGACAATATCATTTTAACGATAGAACATTCTATCTATGAGATGATAATTTTTAGTTTCATTTTATAAATTTTGTACTAATAGAGAAAATGAAAATGGCGTCATGGAGAAAGGGAGATAACATGTTAATGGTGGCTGCTATAGATTTTGGAACAACATATTCCGGGTATGCTATTGGAGCAAGGAGTGAACTGGAAGAAGATCCCCCGAGAGTATTTTGTCCGGTGTGGCAGGGAAAAGGGGACATCATGTCATTTAAAGCCCCTACAACTGTTCTACTGAATGAAAAGAAACAATTCGTCGCCTTTGGATATGAGGCAGAAGAGCAATATGCAGAACTAGCAGGAGAAGAAGAACATGAAGGCCATTATTAATTTCGTAGATTCAAAATGATGCTTTACGACAAAGTCAGAAAAAAGGTGAGCCCTCAACATAAGAAAATTGCATTCAAGTTAAATATAACCGCTAAGTCTCTTTATTCTCTTGTCCTTGTCTAAAGACCATTTTATTTCCTTCAAAGTCTCTTCACTTTTGTAGGTATATATACAGGTTAATCTTTTCAAAAAAATTCTTTTCTTGTATGTAACGACAGCAAAGTTCCTTATTAGCTGAACTGCATTAGCATGGTGCATATAGTATTGTCTCTGTGGGTGGATGATAATGGAATTGACTACTGAGCTTGTAATAAATTACAGTGCCACAAATTGTACAGAAATTACAGTGGCGTAGCATCGTTTTTGAAAGTGGGGGGGGGGGGGGGCAGGCAGAGAAAATTTTTTTTTACTTACCTGAAAAAGTTGACAAGCAAACAAACAAACAAACAAAAAAAAAAGGTAAAAGTTGCCCAAAGGCGAAAATCCTTTCGGTACATTTCTAAAAGTGGAGGAGCCAGCCAGGCTTTCAATTAACATTTCCTATAGTGTAAGTTAGGTTGGGAAAAAAAGGGGGGCAGGCCCCCCCCCCCCCCCCCCCCCCCGGATACTACGGCCCTGAATTAAGTGAAAGAAATATGCATATAGTTCAAAAATAAAAGTTAATTAAAAATAATCACTGGGCACGAATAATCCTGTCCTCAAGCACATATTTGAAATAAATTTCTGTGCACGAATTGGACAAAATGCATTATATCCAGCAAGGTGATAATAGGACACAACACACTAAATTGGGATTCGTTTCTTGATAATTAGTATCATTCGTTAATAAAAATTAATTTGATTAACTATTATAAAAAAAACACCTTAAAACATTTGGTATACAACTTGAAAAAAAAACTTTAAAACATATTAACCACCCCTTGCATAATGGCCTGATAAAAGGTATACTGGTATTTTGGCTAAAGAAAACAAGTTTTGCGGTATATCATAGTACTGACACTTAATTATATATATTTTAATTTTTTCAGCGATTAACGATGAACACTACAATTCCAGACATTTTAAACAGAGAGATACCAGCTGTAGATATTTTCGCTCATGCCATACGCTACTTAAAAAGACATCTATTAGAAAATTTAGAACAAAGGAAGTCCATTGCTACAGATAAGGACATATTTTGGGTTGTTACTGTTCCCGCAATTTGGGACGATCCCGCGAAACAATTCATGAGAAAGGCTGCAGAACAGGTAATGAATAATTAGCAGTTCTTTAATTTGTTTGGGTCTTTTAAACACATTTATGTACGGGAATTTTGAAATGGGAAAAATGCTATAAATCGAAAGCACAATCTTGTAAAAAAAAAAAAAATTAAATCTCTTCGGTTAAACACTACTTTGAAATTTTCAAAAATATTTATTTATGAAACGAACTTTAACACATATTATTAGTTAAGAAAATGTTTAACTTCTATATGTTTTAACAGGATTTTAAGGTTTCATAATAATTGGTTTTTAGGCAGGTATAGACAGAGACAAACTACGAATCGCACTAGAACCAGAGGCAGCTTCCATCTGGTGCAAACATCTACCTGTAGAAAAACTTCAAGGAAGTGATAACAGAATAGACTCTTTTCAAGTGGGCAGCAAATATCTTGTTCTGGATGCAGGAGGTCCGTGCTTAATTAATATAAAAGGAATTAAGATATCTCCTTATTTAACCATTTAGAACTGCATCCTCAAGTCACAACACATACTGTATAATTAAATCCTTGGAATAGAAACCGAAAATATATTCAATTGTTCATAATATAGTATTTCTTTGTTGAGATTCTCGTTTTCGTGTTACAGTGAAAATTGAAAGGAAAAAATCAAATGTCGCACTCTAAGATATATTATAAATTGCACAAATGATGGATAAGGATAAAAAATAAATGCATTTTTTATTTATTCACTAATATACTGTAATTAAATCAAATCTTTCTCTCTTTATTTTATTAATTTTTATATAACAACAACTAATGTATTAATGAGACTTGAATTTGAGAGAGATAAATTAGAATCTTTTTCTCGAGTTTGAATATTTTTTTCGAGCTTTTTTTAATTCATAAAACCTTAATTTCTTATAGTAAGATTCTTTGTTCAAAGGTGGAACTATAGACATAACTATTCACGAGGTCAAAGACGAAGGAAAACTGAGGGAACTGACGAGGGCCAGTGGTGGGGACTGGGGAGGGGTCAGTGTGGACAAAGCCTTCGAGGCCGTTCTAACGGAGATTGTAGGAGAGGGTCTGATGGAGGAATTCCGCCGCACATATACGGCCGACTACCTCGAATTGTTTAGGGATTTTGAAATAAAGAAGAGGAAGAGAAACGAAAGTAAGGAGGATGAAGCGTTTGTTACATTGAAAATACCTCTTAGTTTGGTTGAACTTTGCGGAAACTTGGCAGGCATGATTGCATGTACCAAATACAACGGAAATATTGATCTAGAGTTAGATAAACTGAGAATAAACCATGCAACTTTTGTAGACCTCTTTAGGACCACGTGCGACAGAGTGGTCGATCATGTTAAAAAACTTCTCCAATCAGCAAACGCGAAAAGTGTTGACTTTATCCTTATGGTAGGCGGGTTTTCAGAGTCACCAGTTTTGCAAGATGCAATAAAAGGTGCTTTTTGTTCAAAGTATCGGGTTATTGTTCCCCAGGAAGCCGGGCTGACAGTACTTCGCGGTGCGGTGCTTTTTGGAAAAGATCCCAGTACAATTGACTGCCGAATAGCACAGAGAACGTATGGAATAGCTTCAACTCGAACATTCAATCCCAAAATACACAAAGAATCAAAGAAATTTCAAGTAAATAAAGTGGACAAATGTGACGATCTTTTTAGTAGACACGTGAAGAAAGACGACAAACTCATATTGTACGTGGCCCAAGCAGAGAAAACCTACACGCCTCTGAAAGCTGACCAAGAAAGTATGCGGATTTCCTTGTATAAATCAGAAGTCGATAACCCCATGTATGTTGATGACCCAGGATGCACATATCTAGGAAGTTTTGATGTTCCAATGCGAGACACCACTGGCGGACTAGACAGAGAGGTCAAAGTTAGCTTGCCTTTTTGGGGACACTGAAATAGAAGTGAAGTGTTTGGTTGTTAGAACTGGTGAAGAAACGTCATACCAATTCAAATTTCTTGAAGATGAACCTTAAATTGTTTTTCCTGAAGTTTGAATGGCACGTGTGCTGACATTATTTATTTATCACTTGTACATTTAAAATTAATACTATACTCAATATTCTATTTTGTATTCGTTTATATATTGGGAGTCTATACACGTTTGAAGTATGTAATTCATTGTCATGTTTTATATTTTTAAAATGACGTCATAATTATGAGAGGAAATGCTTGATTTTTTATTAGTTATTTAATATCCTCTGTATATCATGTCATATATGTAAATGGCTATGTTGCAACCACTATTGAAATAACGACCACTATTGAAATAATTATATCAATAGTGGTTGAGAGTGCATTTCAGTAGCAAATATAGTTAGTTACCACTATTGAAATACGACCACTATTGAAATACCGGTAATTACATGTATATAAATAGTGGTTGAGAGTGCATTTCAATAGCAAACATACTTAGTAACCACTATTGAAATACAACCACTATTGAAATAATTATATCAAAAGTGGTTGAGAGTGTATTTTAATTACAAACGTAGGTAATAACCCGTATTGAAATACGACCACTTTTGAAATATTTATTTCAAGAGTGGGTGGGATTCATTTCAATAACAAACATAGGGTGCAACCACTATTGAAATAATGTTCACTTTTGAAATAAAGATTTCAATATGAATTAAATTATGGATTTATTTTTGAAGTATTATAAGGAACTATCAAAATAATTATTTAAATCACTTTTGAAATTATTGTTTCAATAACTATCTAAATCTTCATTTAAGGACAGCTGATACAAACAAAATATGGATGCCTGAATTGGTATATATTTATTGGTCTGATTTCATTGAAAATGATGCAAATAATAAATTTCTAGAATATAAAGAAATTGTAAACCTTCATTGATGTTCAAAATTCTGCCTTTCACTCCAAATCCAATTTTTGTGAAATTTTGGATAAAAAATTAAAAATTACGAGGTGCAACTTTTCTTTCTACACTGGTCGTATTTCAATAGTGGTTGAAACCAATGGTTATGATATTGAAATGCACTCTTCCCCACTATTAGATAATTATTTCAATAGTGCTCGTATTTCAATAGTGGTTTAAACCTACGGTTATCATATAGAAATGTGTTCTTACACACCATTGAAATAATTATTTCAATAGTGGTCGTATTTCAACAGTTTTTACTATCTATGTTTGTTATTGAAATGCACTCTCACCCACTATTGAAATAATTATTTCAATGGTGGTCGTATTTCAATAGTGGTTACTAACTTTGTTTGCTATTGAAATGCACTCTCAACCACTATTGATATAATTATTTCAATAGTGGTCGTTATTTCAATAGTGGTTGCATGTGTGTATTTTTTCTCCCCTGAACTTAAAAATCACATTGGCTTTGCTTGTCTGTCTGTCCGTTTGTTTGTAAACTTTCAAGTTTGTTCAAATGAAGAACAACGTTCTCATATAAGGGTATATAATTCCGAAATATTGAAATTATAGTTGGCATGTATAAAAATCTTCTATGTAATTACCTCATATCTTAGGTTAATTATTTTTCTGTCCTATTCATTTTAAAACTAATCAAAGTTTGGAAGCGAAGACTAAAATCTTTTCAGAAACTTGAAGCGGTTCCACTCTGAGATGAACAATAGTCTTCATTATTAAAAATTCAAACAAAAAATGTGTTACATCGTTTTTTCTGATTTTCTTGATGGATCCTTTAGTAAATTTCTCTACGACATAGCCCCCCTCCCCTGACAGATAGTTAATTTAACACCCTAACACCCCTTTCTGAGAATTTTCATAACCCATGGTAACTTAAAAATAATTTTTATTATATACTGTGGAAAAAGGGTCTCCCAAACGTTAAAAGAACGGAAATAATACAAATAATATCGGAATTTAGGTATAAATGGATATATAGGGACCCATGTTATCTTTGTAATGTTTTTGTGACTGATAAATATCAAAGATCATCATGAACATGATCTTCTAAACTGTGGATTATTGACCCCACCTTTGCGAATATTATAAGGTTCAAACTACATTGTATACTCTCTGTATTTAAATGTTAAATTCTTGATTTTGTTTTGTATGAAGGAAACTGTATTATATATGCATGTTTTACAATAGTTTTTGGTGGCAAACAATAGTTAATATAGAGTTTGTATTCTGTTATTATTATACATGTATGTAAGAAATATTTTATATAGATAAAGAACAATTGTCAATTTTTGGTTAGTAACCTTTGATGCTTATATTAACTACAATTTTTGTTCATTGATCAAAACCTTTATATTGATCGATAAAATTTCAACCTCAATACATGTATATATTTGTCTTTTTTCATAGCAGTTGGCATAAAATGAGGTATAAATATTCCTTGAAGGTGTGTACTGAGTTACCGTGTTCAATTTCTAGTACACGGAACATTGGCTGTACATGTATTCACATGTTCCAATAATCTTTACTTTCGTTTTTAGGTCACCTGAGTAAAGTCAGGTGACCTATTGCTATCTGTTTTCGTCTGTCGTCGTACGTCGTTCGTCGGTCGTAAACTTTTGAACATTTTTAGCTTCTTCTCTGGAACCACTGAACCAATTAATTTCAATCAAATTTGGTATACAGCATCTACGGGTAAAAGGAAACAAAAATTGTGAATTTCATGGTCCTGCTCTCCTGAGGCCCGAGGGGTGGGGCCAAAACCACTAAAATAAATGCAATCTTTAAAAATCTTTGCATTCTTCTTTAGTCATGGACATCAAGCAATCAAATTGTTGGCATGATTGTAATTAGCAACAACAACAATGAGTCCTGTACCAAAATTGTAAAATTCATGGCCCCTGGGTCAGAGGTTCTTGTGTTAGGGTGGGCTAAATAGATCATATAGTAAAAGTGCATTATTTCTTTGAAAATCTTTTCCTCCACTCCTGGGTATTAAACAAACAAACCAAGTACATAGTTATGATACCCAAGAGTGCTTCTTTAAACATTGTGAATTTCATGGCCCCTGGGTCAGGGGTTCTGGTGTTAGGGCGGGGCTGTATTGATAATGTAATGAAAATACATTAAATCTTCTCCTCTGCTGTTGTGTATTAAACAAATGAACCATATACATAGTTATGATGCCCAAGAGTGCCTCTTCAAAAATTGTGAATTTCATGGCCCCTGGGTCAGGGGTTCTGGTGTTAAGGCGGGGCTGTATTGATAACTATTATATATATAGTGAAAATACATTAATTCTTTGAAAATCTTCCTCTCTGCTCCTGTGTATTAATTTTCTACGGGGAAGGGGCGTAGCTTGAAAATAATTCAATAATTTTATTAAACAGGTCTGGACGATTTCTAAATAAGGAAGTCAAGAACGATAACCGAAAGTTGCTATAAATGTACATTAAGTACACGTAATTATTTTTCTGTCCAATCAGACAACAGCATTTTTACACACCCCAAAACATATTTTAAAAAAACAAAAAGATATCACGTGCTTTTATTTTTTTTTTTTTCCTCAAAAAGATTTTTTAACAAAAAATCTGTAGAAGTTAGATGAAAACTTTCAAAGAATAAGGTAATCCCCACATTTTTATTCAAAACATTCAAAAATAATAAAGACTGATATCTTTTCGATAAGATTTTTATGTCAGGCTCTAAAAACTGAATATTTACCGTATTTATATCAAATTTTAAACGTAAGTTAAACTTTTGGGATTGCTACCTCCTAGAGACAGATTTTTTTTTCCCACTTAAAACGCATTCTAAGCTTTCAAGTCGTGTTTGTTCACGGTAGAATTGTCATGAATATTATATTATTCCCTAATACGCATAAAGTTTACAAAAAGTATGTTCTAAAAAATGTTTTGAGCAAAAAAACACGTGTTTTACTGCAGTATTTATTTTCTCTAAGGGTTTGTCTAAATGCTGTTATTTGATTGGTCAGAAGGAGTAGTGCCTTGTTTATAACTTTATTCCGTTAATTAATAGCAATTCACGGTTATCGTTCTTGACTTCCTTATTTAGAAATCGTCCAGACCTGTTAAATGAGAGTCGAATTTGAGAGAGATGAATTAGAATATTTTTCTCAAGTTGGAATATTTTACTTCGAGCATTTTTTAATTCATAAAACCTTAATTTCTTACTGTAAGATTCTTTGTTCAAAAGTGGAACTATCGACATAACTATTCACGAGGTCAAAGACGAAGAAAAACTGAGGGAATTGACGAGGGCCAGCGGTGGGGACTGGGGAGGGGTCAGCGTGGACAAAGCCTTCGAGGCCGTTCTAACGGAGATTGTAGGAGAGGGTCTGATGGAAGAATTCCGCCGCACATACACGGCCGACTACCTCGAATTGTTTAGGGATTTCGAAATAAAGAAGAGGAAGAGAAACGAAAGTAAGGAGGATGAAGCGTTTGTTACATTGAAAATACCTCTTAGTTTGGTTGAACTTTGCGGAAACTTGGCAGGCATGATTGCAAGTACCAAATACAAAGGAAATATTGATCTAGAGTTAGATAAACTGAGAATAAACCATGCAACTTTTGTAGATCTCTTTATGACCACGTGCGACAGAGTGGTCGATCATGTTAAAAAACTTCTTCAATCACCAAACGCGAAAGGTGTTGACTTTATCCTTATGGTAGGCGGGTTTTCAGAGTCACCAGTTTTGCAAGATGCAATCAAAAGTGCTTTTTGTTCAAAGTATCGAGTCATTGTTCCCCAGGAAGCCGGACTGACAGTACTTCGCGGTGCGGTGCTTTTTGGAAAAGATCCCAGTACGATCGACTGCCGAATAGCACAGAGAACTTATGGAATAGCTTCAACTCGAACATTTGATGCCAAGATACACAAAGAATCAAAGAAATTTCAAGTAAATAAAGTGGACAAATGTGACGATCTTTTTAGTAGACACGTGAAGAAAGACGACAAACTCATATTGAACGTGGCTCAGGCAGAAAAAAAACCTACACGCCTCTGAAAGCTGACCAAGAAAGTATGCACATTTCCTTGTATAAATCAGAAGTCGATAACCCCATATATGTTGATGACCCAGGATGCACATATCTAGGAAGTTTTGATATTCCAATGCGAGACACCACCGGCGGATTAGACAGAGAGGTCAAAGTTAGCTTGCTTTTTGGGGACACTGAAATAGAAGTGAAGTGTTTGGTTGTTAGATCTGGTGAAGAAACGTCAAACCAATTCAAATTTCTTGAAGATGAACCTTAAATTATTTTTCCTGAAGTTTGAATGACAGTTGTGTTA